AACTTCTGTCACCCACAATTCCATTTTTCTCCTTTATCTTTCCTTTTGTTTCCTTTGCTCTTTTTTTCTTCAAGACAGGGTCTTTTTTAGTCCAGGCTGTCTTCAAATTTGCTAAATAGCCAAGGCTAGCCTTGAACTTCTGCTCCTCCAGCTTTAGCCTGCCAGCTTCTAGGATTACAAGTGAATGCCACCAATGCCTGACTCCCACTCTCTAGCTCAATAAATTTGACTCTCTAGGCACTTCATATAGGTGCAATTACAATGCATTTGTCCCTTTGGGTCAGGCTTCTTTCATTTAACATTGTCTTCACTCATCCATGTGATAGCACATATCAGGATGTCCCTACTTTTTCTGGCCAATGGCATTCTCCTTTGAAGGCACACAGCATACCTTTGCCTATATAGTAGTACACACCTATGCTGGAAAGTCCTTTTTTTGGTGCTGAGGATTGAACCCAGTATCTTCCACATGCTAGGCAAACATTCTACTACTGAGGCATACTCCCAAGTCAACTGGGCCCATGTTGATCAGCAATCACTTAGCACATTGCATTATAGAGTACTTCAAGCTGCTTCTGAGCCTTTTTCTACCTGGATATGCCTCTTTTGATTACTAGCCTGAGCCTGGGATCCCACATCAGTGGGCTCCTCCTGATAGCAGGAAACAGCTGGGGCTATATTATAACCCCTGCTGTCATCCAAGTTTTTTCAACTCCAGATGTTGCCACAGATAACCACTAGATGGCACCATGAGGATATTTCTACCTTGCCAACAACACGTTTAGTGTTCAGAGGTCCCATCTTCTGTCCTAAAATAACAAGGGTGTCCTACCACAGAGGGGACAACAGAATGATTAGAATGCCCGTTGCTGAGCCTCTAGAATGAATTCTGTAAGTATAACTTTAAGATTGGCAATAAAAAGTCACCAGAAGCCCGATGTAGTGGCATATACCTTTAATCCCAGCATTCAGGAGGCAGACTCAGGAGGATCTCCATCAGTTAGAAGCCAGCCTGGTCTATATAGTGAGTTCCAGGTCAGTCAGGGCTACATAGTGGGATCCTCTCTCAAAATAAAAATACAAAACCAAAAACACTGGAGGGGCGGGGACATAACTTAATTGGTAGAGTGCTTTCCTAGTATTCACTAAAACCCTTGAGTTTGATGCCCAGCACTGCATAAAGCAGGCACAGTGGCACATGCCTGTAACACCAGTTCTTGGGAGGTGGAGATGGGAATCAGAAGTTCAACTTATCCTCAGCTACAAAGCAGGTTTGAAGCCAGCCTGAGGTACATCGACCCTGCCTGAAAAAAAAAAAAAGTCACTGGAATTGTTCCTGTGTTGCTATATGTAACCATGAGATTGCTGTGTATCATACTGATACTTCTGCACCCCTCCCAGTCACCATCCAACTACAATCAGAGGTTTCTGTGACTTTGATGGATAATAAAGTCCATTAGGCAGGCCAGGGAGACTCATTACTTTATCCCAATCAACTTTCTTTTCCCTCTTTCTTTCCTTCCTTCTATTCTTTGTTGTTTTCAGTGCTGGAGATTGGACCCAGGGCATTATGCATGCCACACCCCCAGCTTTTTTAAAGCGCAGAATTCAGATGACAGTACTGGTGGTCTGCTCAGTGCTGCTGGGGTGGATTGTGTGTCTTCCAGTGAGTATATGTATCTAAACACATCTAGGTATCCAATACAGTATGTTTCAGAGGGATGTACACCTCCATGCTTAGTCAGGTACTGTGTGTACATGTTACAGATGTCTGTCTATGTCTGTCTGCCTACAGGATGAGTGTGCTTTTCAGTGTCTCTACCTGGGTGGCTGCATATTAGGCCAAGTATGTGTGTGTGTATGGATTCTGAGGATAATAGAGTATGTTACAAGATGGGTGGGTGGGAGAAAAGATGGGTCTTTGTCCCCTTTAATTGGGTCTGATGGAGTGTGTATTGGTTGCTCTGTGTGTGTGTGTGTGTGTGTGTGTTTGTATATGTATTACAGTGAGTCTCAGTATCCAGTTAGCTTTGGTAAAACATGTGTATGTTACAAATTATGTCACTGTGCCTCTGTGTGTCTGCTGGTGTGTGTGTGCATGTGTCAGTAGTGGAGGCTGTAGATTATGGCAGAGGAGTACATCTTCATGTTTTGTGAGATGATGGTGGTGTGGATTTTTGCAAGTTTTGGTGGGTTCCTATGAGTGTGGTGGGGTGCAGGATGTGTGTTAACATTTTATGTCTGGTAGCATGTATATGTTGTAGAGGACTTTTAAATTTTATTTATTTTATCTGTATGAGTGTTTTGTTGGTGTGTAAGTGCACCACATGCATGCAATGCCTGTGGAGACCAGAAGAGGGTATCAGACCCCTGGAACTGGAGTTACAGACAGTTGTTAGCTGCCATGTGGGAACCAAACCAAGGTCCTCTGCAAGAGCAGCAGGGCTCTTAAAGGCTGAGTCATCTCTCTAGCTCCTGCAGAGGATATGTTGGATAAATGTATTACAAGTGTCTCTCATGTTTCTGTTTGTGGTTGTTCATAGAAGCAATTATTTGCCTCTTTTATTTCATGTGTCATGAATTGTGTGCGTGTTGTAAGGAGTGTGTATCTCAGGGTCTTAGTGTGGTAGGTGGTGTGTGTGATTTGTATGATCCATTGCTGTTTTGCCATGCTTCACGTGTGTGTGTGTGTGTGTGTATGTGTGTGTGTGTGTATGTGTGTGTGTGTTGCAGTGTCTTGGTGTTCCTATCTGCCAGATATGTTGCACAGTGCATGAGTATTTTCTCTCTCTCTCTCTCTCTCTCTCTCTCTCTCTCTGTTTGCTGGCTGATGGTTTTCTGCATTACTGTGTGCTGGCTGGACACATGCGTGTCCCATGGTGTGCATGTACAGTGCCACAGTGTTTGTGTTGGACAGCGAGGGTTCATTCCTGTCTAGTGAATGGTGTGTCTAGGTGTCTCTGTGTGTTGAGGGGAGTGTGTGAGCCTTGGCAAGTTGGTGTCTGTCTTTTGGGTGCAATTCTGTTTGGGGAACATACTGCTGTGTGTATTGGTCTCTTTGTTTCTGGACTTCCCTGGTTTGTCGAGTGTGTTTTGGATTGAGTGTGTTGGTATTTCTGTGCATCTGGTGGCAAAGTTATGTGTGCCACAGGACAAGTGACTGCTGGTTTGGCTGTTATGTGTGCACACAGCCTAGTCTATGTGTGCTGTGTCCCTGCTGGAAACCAGACTGTGTCCAGGCCCCTCTCCAGTCCCCACATTCCTTTGTGCTCTGTTACAAGAAAATATTTGCATTTTCCACGACTCATAATTTTTCCTCCTCAATCGCTACCAGATGTGGGCCCTGTGGTCCCCGTCCCCATAGCAACAGAGGTTCCAGCAGTCGTGGTTCCCTTTTGTGGCGCCTGCCCTGGGAGCTGGCACCACTGTGAGTCGGGGGGGGGGGGCACATGGTAAAAGACTGTTCGGGGGACCCTCCTGGGGGAACAGGCAGCAGGCTGGCTGGTGGCTTCTGCTCTGGGAGGTGCCCACAGAGGGCCTCCTGCAGGTCAGGCCTCAGATGCTTAAGGGGCTTCCAGGACAGTGGGACAAGCCCCAGGATAGCATGGAAATATCCCTGGCCTGCCTGGATCATTCTCACCAAGCTAAGAGAACTAGAGGGCTAGAACAAGGAATTTAAGAGTAAGGGATAGCCAGGGTGCCCAGATGGTTGGGTGTGGGGCAGTTCAAGCAAGAGTAGGGCCTAATTACTGCACTGCCTCATTATAGTAACTGCCCTATTCTTGCTGAGCCCAACTAGGCATCTGCCCCTTCCTGGCTGACATTGAGCCTGACTTCAGCCAATATGGCCTGGTGCCTGAGTGGAACAGAGGCCAGTCAGGCCACAAAGCCACAGCAGGAAAGATCCCACTGGCCAAAGGGGAAGCATCATGACCCAGAGACAGGCAGGCTGCCACCCACATGTTGCTCAACCAGGCCAAGCTTGAGCATTGTGCCATCAACTACCCTGGATATCTCCCCCATGGTACACCATCTCCACTCAGGTGACTGAAACCCTGCATGGGACCAAAGCTGACCTCAAAGTGGTACCTGGTTAGGGCAAGAGCCCTCTCTACCCAGGAGAGATCCCTGAGCTGCCAACAGTAGAGACAACCCAGCAAGCTGTGAGATGTAGGGTGGGTGCCCAGAGTTGGAAAGACCTTGGCAGAATCAGACTTTGAGTTGGGTATCAAAATATGGGAGAAGCCAGGGGTGGTGGCTCATGCCTATAACTTTGACATGAGCAACAATATGTTGCTTCCTGTCTCAGCAACAAAATAAAAATAAGGGAGACAGGAAGAGCGTCTGTTAGAGGTAGGGGTGGCAGGAACCAAGACAGTTTAAGGAGGCCAGTAGGAGCCCTGAAGAAGCATGGGTGCCAAGCTCAGAAAGGCCTCTTCGGAGCCTACCCAGAGAGGTGAAGGTGCCAGGGTAGAGTGGGTAAAGCTGGACACAAATGGCCCCAGAAAAGGCCAGGTCAGAAATGGGTGATCAAGGCAGCTGGCAGAGGATATGGACAGGGCTCTGGGCCAGGCAGGCTGCCTTTCCTCTCCTCCCCCTTCTTCCATGTGGGGAGAGGGGAGAGGAGTTTCTACTTAGGACAAGGCTTCCATTGAGGCAGACAGCAGGCTCTGTGCAGTGGCAGACTGTTGTGTTTTGTCAAGCCCTGCTGAAGGCTAGACACGCCCATCAGCTATTGCCTGAACCTCTATCCCACCAGGAATAGCTCTGACCTCCCAACCCCTACTTGCTCAGATCAATCCTTCTTCCCAGGTGACAGACAGCTCATGGTAGGGTAATAAATGATGGAGGGTAGATCTGTTACATTTTCCACAGGATCCCTGGAGACCTACATCTAAGGTTCCACTTAGGTGGAGGAGTCCAGAAGATATTTCATAAAGGTTCCTTAAGTAGGACATCTTTTCTCCACACCCTTAGGCAGGAAGTATTAAGAGCATAGGAGGTGGGGGGAAGCATTTTATTATAAAAGCTTTGGCCAAGCCCCTGCTAGGAGGAATCCATTCTGGGGGCCCCAGGTGGGATGGAAGCAGCCCCTCCAGGGACCTATAAATACATTTCCTAAGGCCACCGAATTTGTCCCTGGGGCTCCCAGAGGTGTGGGGTGGCAGGAGGCCATCAAAACCAGCTTGACAGCTGAGGGATCAGGGCTCGTGACACAGGGAAAGGGTCAGGCCAAGGTGCTCCAAGCCCCTTGGGGAGAAGAGACCAGCTCTCCTTCCCAGGTTTGGAGCCTGGTCAATGGAAGTAGCCTCTGGCTACCTCCAGAAAAGAGTCCCTACAGCCAGAGGCACCAGGCCCTGACCTTTGAGAGGCAGCCAGGAGGCAGAAGTAAGTGCTGCTGGCTTCAGCCAATGAGAAGGTAGCCCCGACCAAGCATACTCTTGTCCAGCATGTAGTGTCTAAGCAGAGCTCTCCAGGCTATGGGCAATGACATACAGATTGGTAGGAAAGCTTCACAACTCCGCCACTGGGGAGGGAGTCATCAGTTAAGCACCTGTCAGATGTTGACCAATAAAGATGGGGGATTTCTCGCCCAAGCGACTCCAGCCAAGAAGCAGCTGCCAGAGCCTGAGCCTGACACAGCCTCCCTAGGAGCGCTAGGAGCATCGGCCAATGGAAGGCCTTCAGTGCCCAGGCCACGCGGGAAACGCCAGGCCGCAGAACGCTGGGTGCAAGCAACGCTAAGCCACGGGAAGCTGCAGGTACCGTGGGGCAGCCGCCTACTACAGGGTGGGCGCACTCGCTCTGCCCAGCTCCCCTGCCGCCTCCCTGCTCTTCTTTCGAGGCGGTTTCTGGATGGGGGTCTTCTTCCGAGGGGTCTCTGGAGCAGGCGCGGCAGCCACCGCCATCTCGGGCGCCGGGGACGCACGGGCCGGCGAGGCGGGCAGCACCGAGCGCTTGGCCTTCTGTGGCGGCGCCGGCTTCTCCCGGGGCCCCTGAACGGCCTCAGCGCGACCCAGGCTGCGAGTCTTGTCGCGCAGCTCCGCTGCCAGCATGGAGGCGGCCTCGGGCGCGCTGCGCGGGGGGCCACCAGCGTCCGTGGGCTCTGAGACACCCAGGCCACGACCCCGCGCTCGGGCCCGGGGTGGCGAGGCCGCGTTTGGGGCGGGTGCCTCCTCCGCCAGTCCCGGGGGCCGCGGCGTCTGGTCACGGATTCGGGGGCTGCAGGGCTCGTCTGGCCGCGCCGACGTGTCACTGGGTGTCCTTTTCCTCTTGCTAGGGCTTGGCGCTGCTTCGGGACCCGACGGCGGCGACCCTGCACCGGCTGCGGAGGCTGCGCCCTGCTTGCCATGGATCCAGGACACCTTGGGCTTGGTGGCAGGGTCGGGTGGCGGCGGCTTCCTGCGCTCGGGCGACGGAGACAGCGACAAACCTCCAGCCTCACCTCGGGCCCGGGCCGGCCGGACTTCGCGCCGGGCCACGCGCGCATACAGCGCCCCGCCAGGCCCCTCCACACTGGACGCCGAGCGCTCGCTGTCAGAGGACGCAGGGAGGGTCGCTGCCTCCTCCGTGGGCCCATGAGTGGTCAAGGGCGCTGGGGATGCAGCTGGTGCCTCAGCCAGAGCCGGAGGGGCCTCCGGGTCTCTGCTCTCCGTTGCTGCCTCTAACACGGGAACAGCAAGCAAGTCACCACCTCCAAGAACAGCGGGCTGGTCTACCCTCCAGCGTGACACTCCCCCCTCAGCAGCAGGGGTCCTAGCTGTCACAGTGTCGCCCTAACATCCAGGCATGCCTGGCACATTTATAGCACTACCCACAAATGTAGTGCAAATCCCTAGGGTGCAGGCTGACTGCTGAAGCTCCAGCCTTGGCCAGTTTGTGCCCCTTCCCCACTATGCCCCAGCCTCACCGGCCATAGTCTTCAAATTTAAGGGGATTCCATATTCATTATGGAAGGCTTCTGATGCTAAGGGGTTAGGTCACCCGTTCAAGGTAACCCAGTGACATTGTCAAGGAAGAAGAGAGGCCAGCTCCTTCCTGTTGTCTGTGGGCCCAAGGCTGCATATGCCCTTCCTGTCTCCTCTGCCACTCCCTACTTAGGCCCAGAATTTTCTTTCTGCCTGGTTTCTCCCAGAAGTGAACATGGCTCATGACTAATAGCAGGAGAGCCCACCTATCCCTACATAACTTACACTAGCTAAACAGTAGAGCCCAGCTTTGTTAGCAGCAGGTTTGTGGCCAACAACTCCTAGTGCTGACTTCTACTTCCCCTTCATCCCCACTCCTCCCTATGACCTCCAGCACAGAGGTCATAGACAGACCATTTTACTGTGATAGAAGGATGGCCATGCAGGGCCATACTCACCCTCATGGGGCACACAGTACACAGGGCCTTCATCTGTGGTGTCGAATGATGAGAAAGAAGCTCTGGAGGACCATGATGGTGAGGGTTGCTCCAGCCCTGAGGGTGGTTCCAGGAAGCTGCAGTTGAGTGTGTTTTCCAGGTCATGATGGGCCACTGAAATAGTGAGTAATGAGGCAGAGTTACTAGGGGTCCTGCCTTGCTCCTGTACCCTTAATTAGCTAAATGTGAATGGACTGATCGTGACAGCTCCTGCCCTAAAACTGCAGGTGTGGGATACAAAATTCGTCAGTCACACTAGACTAGAGCTGGAAAATGTGTAGCAAGCAAGCCAGGTGAAGAAAACAGGGAAGCTGAGCATATATACATGCCTGTAATCCCAGCACTTGAAAGGCTGAGGAAGAAGGATCCCTGTGAACTTAAGACTAGCTTGGACTACATAGCGAGGTGACTTCCAGGCAGACTTGGCATATATTGTGAGACCCTAACTTTTATTTATTTTTTTTTAATTTAATGTTTATGCACGTATTGCCTGCATGTAGATAAGTGCACCCATGTCGTGCAATGCATGAGGAGGACAGAAGAGGCTGTCAGATCCCCTGGAACTGGAGTTATGGACAGTTGTTAGCTTCCATGTGGGTGCTGGAATTCAAACCCAGGTCTTCTGCAAAGAACAGCCAATGTTCTTAACCACTGGCCCCTGAGACCCTATCTTTAAAAAAAAAAAGGCTGGAGAGATGGCTCTGTGGCTAAGAGCACTGACTGCTCTTGCAGAGGATCTGGGTTTGAATCCCAGCACCCACATGGCGGCTAACAACAGTCTGTAATTCCAGTTCCAGGGGATCTGGTACCTTCTACTGACTTCCTTGGGCATTGCATGGCACAAGTGCACTTACACACATGCAGGCCATACACTTATACACGTAAAAAAAAAGAAAGAAAAGCTAAAAAGATGCAAGGCAAGTGCAGTCAGTCTAGGAGTTAAAAGAGTGAACTGAAGTGTTAGGAAGAGGTCATAATGAGATATTCCTTTAATCCCAGCACTCTGGAGACAGAGGCTAGTAGGTCTCTGTAAATTCCAGATCAGCCTGGTGTACACAATCCCTACTTAAAAAAAAAAAAAAAAGAGGTTGCTGGAGAAAACACTTGACTTAGAAAGACCACCAGGTCCTATAAGTCAACTCTGGACTCTGCCTTGTGAAATTTGGGGAGCCCTGGAGCACTTTTGAGCCCAAATGTACAGTCCAAAACTGCTATTAGGATCAGTCTGTCTCAGCCACCTTCATCCCAAGGCCCACCTCACACCTGTGTTTCATAGGCCTCATGATGCCAAAGTGAACTAAAGGGTTTTTCTCCTGTCTCCTTTACTTCTGAAGAGACTGAGCCTTCCCCACAAATCTCCAGAAAGAAGTTGCCTAAAGAGAGGGTCCACCCTAGTTGCATGTCAACAAAGGAAGGAGCAGTTAGACCCCTCACCCCAGAGCCCCTGGGGTTAGGGACAGACTGCTGTTTCTCCAGAAAGGCTTAGGTCACTGTTGGGAATCCAGGCAGGGTGAGTCATCTTTGGACTGATCATTCCCATGCACAAGTGCCATGCAGTCTCCCGAAGCTCTGGATTCAAATGCATAGTAAAGTCCTACAGACCAAATGGCCTGCCAGGTTCAGGTGTCATCCACACAATCCGGATGGGATCACTCACAGGTCCCCACGACTCCTGCACACTCCCCAACATCTGCTCACATATCTAGTACTCCTGCCTCTCCTCACAGCCTTGTCTTTAACATCCCCCTTCCTTTCCTCCAATCGAATCTCTCCACTCTCACTCCACCAAAATTCAAGGTCCCCCACTTCTATACTGAACCTTGTACCCTTTACACCATTTCCTAGTGGCCTCCTGTATTGGGAGATGTTTCCTCCTGAGGCCTCGAGCCTTCCTCCTCACCTACGACTTTTGGCAGCTTCTGCCTGCGGAGCGGAATCCGGGGCAGCTTCATGCTGATGCGGCTGAAGCTCCCGCAAAGGTGTTGCGGTGCCTTCTTCCTTCCAAGAGACAGCTCCCTGTGGGGGCGGGGCCTGAGCGAAGGGGCGGGACGGGACTGGGAGGGGCGGTCTGATCCGGGCGGGGACGAAAAAGGAAGGGCCTGAAAGGGGACAAGGGGCGGGCACATGCCGCGGGGGCGGGGTCTGGGTCCCGGATGCACACCCAGTCACAGTGTGGAGGGTGGGGGCTGGCCAGGGACCTGCCTCACCCGCGCGCCGGGTCCTTGCCGCGGCAGGCGCAGCAGCAGCCGAGCAGCGAAAGCAGTAGGCCGAGAAGCAGGGTGAGCAGCGCGCCCGCACCCATCACACCTTTGCGCTGGTTGGTCTCTGTGGGAAGCACCAGCTCAGCGCGGGATCTCGCACCCTGCTTTTCACTCCCTGACCCGATATTCTTCACTCATTCACTCACCCAGGCGGCAGGCACCAGTGACTGGGTCGCATGAATCCTCGTGGCAGCTGCAGGTCTGGGCGCAGTCCATGCCGTGAAGCCCGGCCGGGCACGTTAGATTGCAGCTGCAAAATTTCGGGGTCAAGGAGGGCCGCAGCGGCCCTCCAGAATGCCTCATTTCCTTGCCCCGGCCAAAGTGGTCAAGTCCTGGGTCCCTGAGGTTTTTTACTCCATTCTCTAGGGACTGAAGACCACCCCCACCTGCGGGCTAGCTGGCACGGTTTAGAAAAGAATGTGTGCGCTATCTGCAGGAGGAGGTCTGGAGGATGAGGCATGGGCAACCAGGCCTCAGGGCCCTTTTCTGAGACTGACTTCTGGGGGAAGCGGGAGTCCCAGTCCAGACCACTGACTAGCTCTACTATATCCATGTCACCCTCAGAATGGCGCTTGGCTGGACTGCTGTCAGAGGGCAGGCTCCACACTGGAGCAAGACACTGCCCCAAAGTGCTTGTTGGCACACCCTAACTGGAGTAAGGGTAGAGCAACCCAGCCTGATCCCACCTCCTGGGTCCTTGAGGTCTGGCTGGAGCCCCCCCCCCGTGTTGGCAACATACTCCCTACTCCTCCTCTAGGTCCCTACTCACTGAGGCCCATGAACACCAGGGCTGCAAAGACAGCGCCCCGATTGGAAGTCACAGTGGCCGCTGCCGCAGTCGGAGCACACGAAGGCACAGTCCTCGCCGTAAGTGCCATTACTGCACTTGTTCTCGCACCTTGGAACCAGGAGAGGAGGTGTCAGCAGAAAGTTAAACAGAAGGCCCAAAGCCCACAGAGCCCTAGGAGCAGGGCCTTCGTTAGCGAGGACTAGGGAGCAGCGTGTCTGGGCCGCAGCAAGCACTGGCTGCTCACCGGTCGCCGATCCAGCCCGCGTTGCAGCGCGTACACTTGCCGGTGACATGATTGCAGGCGTGCCCGTCGCGGCAGGGTGGGCAGCGGTAGGCACAACCCTCGCCGTAGAAACCAGAAGCGCAGGGCTGATCGCATTTGGTTCCGTTCCAGCCGGGCTCACACGTCAGACAGCGGCCCTCGGCTACGGTGCATGGCTGCTGGCCCTTGCACTGGCCGCACCTAGGGGCAGGAAGCTGCGGAGGACCAGGCTCCGCCTCACCCCCGCCTCCATTCCAGGCCCACCCTTCCTCCCTCGCCTTCCCGGCCCCGCCCTGCGCTTACCGACGGCGACAGCCCAGGCCGTAGAAGCCGGCGGGGCACGGCTCGCGACAGTACTTTCCGCGGTAGCCGGGTTCGCAGGCGCACGTGCCGTCCACAGGGTGGCAGCGGCCGCGGAAGCACTGGCAGTAACGATCGCAGCGCGCGCCGAAAGTGCGCTCGCGACACTGGCAGCGGCCGCTTTGCTGCTCGCAGGGCGAAGAGTTGCAGGCGCACTGATTGTTGCAGCTGCGGCCCCACCAGCCTGCGTGGCACAGGCAGGCGCCAGTCTGCGGGTCGCAGCGCGACGTGGCGCTGCAGTAGCACGCGCTCGCACACTGCGTACCCCACCAGCCGGGTTCACAGCGGCACGCGCCGCTCCGCGGGTGGCACGTGCCATGCTGGCACTGGCACGCATGCTCGCAACGCTCACCCCAGCGGCGCGCGTGACACGTACACTGCCCCGTCACGTCCTCGCACTGTCCATGCGGGTGGCAACTACACCGCTCCTTGCAGTCGGGGCCCCAAAACTGGCGCGGGCACTCTGTAAAGACCAGGTGGGAGGTTCAGTCTTTCTCTGCAGTGGCACCCTACCCTCTCCGCCTCAAGGGACCCGCCCCCCAGGCCAGTCCTGAGCTAGATCATACCTCGCCCCACCCCGGATCCGCCTCCCGGTCTACGCTCCGCCCTATGCCTCCAGTTTCCTGCCAAGATGCCCAGTACCCAACCCCGCCTCGCCACACGCTCACTGGTGTCGCAGTTGGCACCGAAGTAGCCATGTCGGCAGCGGCACTCGCCAGGCCGCACGCACACCTCATTTTCTGAGCACGTGGAGTTGCCTTCGCAAACCGCTGCAGACAAGAAGGACTGAGCTGCCTCACTTGCTCTCCCCACCTCCACCATACACCCGCCTGCCCAGGATCCCAGAATGCCCTACTCACCGATCCCACACTCGTCCCCCTGTTGCCTCCAGCCAGCGCAGCACGTGGGCACCTGGGAACTTCAAGCAGAGGAAGGACTTCAGGTTGACACCCTTCCCCTACAACCTTTCCCTAACCCTTACTGCCTGCACATTTCTCAGGGCCTTCACACAAGTTCCCTTCTCCCCTTCCACCAACTGCTCTGCCCTAGGGAAGTAGTTACCAAGGCCCTGATGTGTGCCAGGCACTGATATAGGTGTGGAGACTAACAGTGAATAAGAGGGCACACCCAAACAACCCACCTCCAAGAACTGACACCCATAAGGGCTCCCCAGTAATTCAGCCCACCTCTATGCCATTATAGCAGCCACAAGGCTAAGAAGAGGAGCCCAGTGAAGCCCAGAAGGGGTAGCAGTGGGGTGGGGACTAGGGAGCCACCTAGCCCCCCATAACCTTTTGAAACAGGTTCAGCACATCTCTCAGGGCTGAGGTACCTAGCTAGATGGACAAAAGCGATAGCATCACAGCCAGATGGGCCCCAGAGACACCCGGATGCACTGGTAGGGCTAAATGGAAGTGTGGATGGACAGTATCTACATGGGATGGGGTAGGCTGAGTATGGACACAGCACAGTTTCTCTAGAGGGGTGTTGCTTTAGGCTAGGGGGAGCCACCCACAGGTGCCATCCCTGGGCATAAGGAAGGTAGGCTGAGGCCTGGTGCCTCCAAGAGGCAAGGAGAGGCTGGAATGCCCATGTGTGTATATTGTTTTATTCATGTTTAATTTTGAAATTACAAGTACCCAATGATACCTCAGCACATCATTTTTGAGGGGGACTCTGATGAGGGTGAAAGCCTGAGTTACACCCCAGACTCTAGAAAGCAGTTTCTTACTGCAGCATTTCATGGTACAACCTGGAAAGACCTCAACTGATAGAGTACAAAGGTTGGTGGCCCTGTCCAAATGAAGCCAGGGAGGATGCCTAGAGACTGAGCTGGGATGTGATGATGGTTGAGGCAGATGAGGCTGAAAAGGCTGCAGCTTCCTGGAGTCCCATAAGAATTTTGCCTCAATCCTACAGGAATGTAGGTAGAATCCATTTACACTTTAGAGAAAATGAGTGTGCATCTTCTAAAGCATGTGAATCTAGAACCAGGATGTGGTGATGAGAAAAGAGCTTAGGAGGAGGGCCGAAGACCTTGGTATGAGGGATGGGACAGACTGAAAGGAAAGGCCCAAGCTGCCCCACACTGTCCTGCACACTCCTGCCCAGACTACAGATGTCCTGCCTAGCCTAGCTTGGGCTACCAGTCAAACTATGGGTAGAGCCTCAAAGAGTCCCTTCCTGCCCAAAGAGTTTGGTTCTCCCTCAGGCCAAATTTGGGCCTGGGGAACAAGACATAAAATCTCTAACCAGGGAAATGAGCCTTGCCTATCTTCTACAAATAAAACTGGAAATCACATAAAATACAGAACAGGCCTCACCTACCCCCCACCCCCCACACACACACACACACACACACACACACACACGCACACACACACACTGTCACCACCCATCTGGCCTTAACCTAGAAGCTCCAAGGATCCCTTCTGCAAGAAGACCCAGCCCACCAGCCCATCTCCCCTACTTCTGCCTGGCTCTTAAGTCTCCAGATAGAGTTCATCCTCAGCTGTTTGTCTTGCAAGCACTTCTGCCAGATGGCCTGCTAGAATGACCCAGCACTGACCACCATCTTCCCTGGTTGGTCCACTACATGGTTCTGTGGCTGGAAGCCTGGTTTATGGGCCACTTTGAACTGTGTTTGATAAATATACAGGTCAGCATAGGCTGGAGAGCAGACTACACCGTAAACTGCAACCATGGTGGAGCTCTTCATACACAGAAACCTATACATAGCTCTTTCCTTCTGCCAAAACCCATGGGTCCATTTTTTAAACATTTATTTATCTTTTGTGTGATGTGTGCAGGAATGAGCTACTACATACATGTGGAGATTGAGGACAAAGTGGGAAGTCAGTTGTCTCCTTCCACCTTGGGGGACTGAACTCAGATCATCAGGTTTGGCAGCAAGTGCCTTTACCACTGAGTCATCTCAGTGGCCCTAGGCCACATTCTTTAGCTAAGGAACCTGCAACTCAGAGATGCTAAGTTCCTTTGAGATCACACAGCAAATTGCTTACAGTACTATCTTTTCTCCACCCTGTTGACCTGGGAATGGTGAGAACTGGCTCCAGGGAGCCTCTGAGTCCAGCTGGCACCCACCAGTAGACCCAAGCCCATTTGGGTTCATCAAGAACAAGTCTTGGTCTTGCAAGGGCTGATAGAGGAAGACAGACTGGTGAACCAGCTTGTGCATAGTCTTACAAAAGCAGTGTTTGCTCTCTGAGTGAGTGCCACCTTGGGGGATCAGACCCCAAAAGACATCTACACTAGTGGTCACTACCACTGCTGTGATGACAGCCAACTATTTTTTTCTCATCTTAAGAGTCTGCTCATGAGATCTCTGTCTGCCCCTGGTCACTCCCAGATCCAGTCAGGGAGGCTTCAGTGCCTGCCACCTGGCCCCTGAGTCCCCAGCTGTCTAGCTCTCCTCCTGCCCCCAGGAGATAGCCCCTTTGTCCTATGCACACCAGTTTCTCCAGGGACTACCCCAGGTCCCATCAGGTCACTAGCAATGGCAGGGGGTCCTCCAATAGAGTCTGCTCCTCAGGGCTAAACCTGTCAATACAGCTGCCCAGTGAATGATATCACCACAGGGAGAGCTCAAGAGTGCCCCCAAACTAACCTCCTCTGTATCCCATCGCCTCCATCTCAGGTCCTCCTAGTCCTTCCATGCTGAGAAGCTGAGACCATGGCCACACCAGATCCACTGAGAAATAGAACTACTTTCTCTCCTAGACTCCATCTAGGTTGGGACCCCTTTCTCCCTTGTCCTGTCTCAGACTCCTGAGACCCACCTTTCACCTCCTAGCTGGCCCAGCTCTGCCCTCCTGTCTCAAAGCTCATCTCTTCATGGTCAGATACCCATCCATATAAAGCTCCTTGAATTCCCACACTCAGAAAGAAAGCCTCACTCTCACGACAGTGGATACACCTATGTGACCTCAGTGTCTCTTCACTCTCCTGAAACCTACACAGCCCCAAGCACCTGTTGGTTTTCCAATGTACCTTCTGGATAGGGGACTGTGCTATAGAAACCCTCAAGACTCCCTTCTTCTCTCCTGTAGGCATGTGCTCATCATTTTCAGGCAGTGGGTCCTCCCAGATCAGCTAAAGGAAACAACATCCTTAACACCTCCCCAGCCATGTCCAGACCCCACTTGCTAGACAGACATTGGTCTCTGCTGCTGAGTCCCTGCACTAACACATGCTGGCACACAGTAGGTCCATGACATCATATTGAGTGAGCTCACACCCCTCTCTCCTGAACCTCATGCAGTGTAATCAAAGGGATGGTTCAGGCCCCAGGTGGGCCCTGTCCAGTGACTGTCCTTCTCACTGTTAGATTTTGGAGCACAGAATATAGGAACAATAGGAGAGAAAGTGACCACATTCGACCTCAACAAAGGAGTCTGTGTTTATTTAGCACAGCAAGGGCCAGCAGTATTTCCTCAGGATGGAGGCAACTGCAAGGGGCATAGGGACTGGTCAGTCTTTTATAGGGGACATTTATTTTCAGCCATTATTGTGGTTTCTCTTGGGACTTGTCCGTGTGGCCCATCAGGACACCCAGGTAGGGGGAAAGAGGAAGTCCCCAATATAGAACTGGATGGTCAGGGGACCAGACATCGGTGTTCAGGGGTCCAATATTGTGACAATTTCCTTCACCCACCAACCTTACACACACAGTCATAGTAATCCAGGCCCCACCCTCAGCAGGTGAGATCCATTACAACCCCATTTTACAGAGATGGAGACAGACCCAGAAAGTTTAAGGATTTGTTCAGACCCGGACAGTTGGAGCGGCCTGGCGCCAGGATATGAACGCAAACGCAAATTGTAGCTCCAGATTACAGAAACAGGCCGCCTCCTGTGGAGGTCTCTCAGCCAGTAAAGTGGCTCCCCTGCTTGATCCGCCACCAGATCCCCATCCTTCGGCTAGGGTTGGAGACTGCCTGGTGCGGGCAGACCCGCCAGGCGGCCATCACGCCCTCCCCCTCTTCAGGCAGGGCCCCGCCTGCCTCCGCCGCTGCATTCCTGGGGCCGGGGAGGCCCGGGAGGCGGTGGTGGCGGCGGCGATGCGAAGCAGATGGCGGGCCAGGCAGGCCCCCGCCTCGAAGGCGGGGCTCCCGGCCAAAAGTCTGCACGCCTCTCAACTGGATTTCGGAAACCCTATGCGGTCCCTTAGCAGCCCCTACTTACTTTGAATCCCGAAACCCTGGACGACATTTCGGCGTCCCGCGCGCGGACTTGTGACCCAGAACGCCCCCGGGGACCCAGCCTGCAGTCCATGGCAGTCTCTCCAGATGCCAGCGGGTGCAGCGCACCCAGCACCCGCAGATGCGCCCCACTCCTGCTCCTCGCCCCTTTGCAGCCGTCCTTGACCTCGTCGTGGCCTCAGACCAGCCGCCAGGTCCCTTAGACTTCGGTGTCTAACTCCTGGCGTCTGCTCCTCACCATCGCAAGCTCCGGGTCCACCGCCCTCCCGCTGGGCCTGTCCCACAATGACTTCCCCAGCGGATCTAGTGGCCACCCACCTCCCAGCATCTGCCCCAGGAGTTTGCAGCGGTTCCCACACCCTCCCGTCACGCGCGTCCATCATTGTCCTCCCGACTCCCGTTTCTGGTCCACTGGCTCTTCGGTGCTCACTTCCACCGTCCTCCTCCCACCCCGCGCCCGCTCTTCTAGGACAAATCTGTGCTTCCAAGCCTCGCTTGCCTCCACTTCTCTGGCTCCTAGCTCTCCGGGGGTACGCTCCCTTCCCCTTACCCCACTCCAGGCTCAAGCCACTGGCTCTGGAGCCTTTGCATATACCGTTCCCTCCCTCGGAATGCCCTTCCTTGGCTTCGGAAGTCTCCCTTTTAGCTTCTTTCCTGACATTTCGGACACCTCGTTATCACCCCCCTGGGCTCCCACTGTAGTCCGTTATCCCCTCAGGGATATTTGATCCGGACAGCCTTCGAATGCACCGCCAGCGGCAGCCTGGCTCGGCCTGGAACAGAGCTCGAGTCGGCTAGGGCGGTCGAAGGGCGCGCGCGCTTGGCTTAGGGAGGTCTTGGGTACCACCGACCGAAGCCGGGCGCCGCCATCCCAGATCCCTTCGCTCCCATCCCTCAAACAGGCCGGGCTCCTACCCGGGCGCGCGGCACACGTTGCGGCCTCGCGGGTTCAACTCCTGGGGTGCCGCGAGGCCGGGCAGCAGCCAGAGCAGCAGCAGCAGCGGCGGCGACAGCAGCGGACCTCCGGCTCCCTGGCGCCGCTCCGGCCCGGCCCCCCAGGGCCCTGCGCCCTCCATGCGGCGCGGGGCTGGCGTGGGCGCGGGTGCAGCCGCGACGAGAGCGGCCGGAAGCGGAGTGCGAGGCCAGGCGGGGGGCGGCAGGAGGGGCGCCGGGCCGGGCAGGAAATTCCACATCGGCTCCCTGATCCTGGGCCAGCCGCGGCCGGCCAGGCGGCAGCGCCCGCCCAGTGCTCCAGACCCCACCCTCCGGCCGCGCCACCGCCCCTCTGCGTGGCCTCCGCCCCCACCTGGACACTCACAAACTTGGGGGCGAACTTGGTGGAGGCCTGCGGAACTCTAGGGGAGGGAGGAGCTGCAGGGGCCCGCCGAAGGAGTCCCGGGTTCCCGCGTCTTTCCTTCCCCTCCCAGACAGCCCTAGGAGCTAGCCCTGAGCCCTCACTGAGCTAGCCAGGCCGGGAACGGGAAGGGGGATGGGGCCATGCAGGGACGCGAGAACCCGCTTTTCTAGCGCCTCGGAACCCAGCAGGGGGAGGTGGCCCTGAAAAGGCCCTGGGCCACAAGCTGGCCTTAGACTCCCGCCTCGAAGCCCCTGTAGTCCTGTGGTGTGTGTTCAGCATCTCCTGCACGGTACAAGACCACAAGAGACAGACTTAGCAAGATGCTAAGCAAAGACCTGTGGGGTAGATTTGGTCTGGACAGGAAGCCTGGGGAAAGGAGCTCTCTGCAGAGAATGGGAGAGAAGGGAGTAGAAGGAACCAGCCCAGGACTTCAATATAATGTGGAGGTAAAGGCAGAGAAGGGGACATTGGAGATGGACCTGAAACCCAGCAGCAGCCCAGTGAAAGAACCTGGGGTGCCCAGAACATGAGTTCTGCTGGAAAAGGTTATTGGTTTCCAAAAGGGAAAGTCCAGAGGGTAGAGTTGGAGAATGGAGATCCCTATATCAGGCCAGGCAGGGCCATGGGAAAGCCACTAAGTAGGTTGACTTGTCTCTACCAAATCTGCTTTTCACTTTGCTTCTTCTGTACCTCACTCCCTAATTAATTGTCAAAGTAAACTTTGGAAACCTTAATATGATATCATTTCCATAGAAGGAACTGGTTGTTGCAGAATCAGTGCCCATCCTAGTGCCCACCTGGCTATGATTGAAAAGATCCTCAGCCCAATTCCCTATATAAGCTTAGCAATGAGACCCTTAGGCAAGATGGAAGCTTAGGGTGGGAGCTCTCTTGGTCCTTCATAATGAAGCTTTCCACCCACCATTGTCTTGAGGCACTGACCTCATCCAGTGACAGCAGACCACAATTGTTTATGGTTATTATAGTTTAGATCACAGAGAGGGTTGGAGATGCATAGGCCCAGAAAATACAATGCAGTAAGTTCTGGGGTCTGAGGAGTGGCAGGGCTCAGGAGACAGGCTCTACTCCAGATCCTGGGCAAGAAATGCATAGGCCCACATGGGCATCTGGGTCCCAACAAGGAGGAGTTTGTCTTTCCGACTTAAGGAGGGATTGAACACCTGCTTCCCCTTGGGTAGTAAGCAGGACCATGGTGCCCTGACCAGCAAGGGCAGGTGGTTTGGAAAGGGGGCTTAAAGGACAGGGCTTGGAACTAGAGCAATGGATAGGCCCAAGGCCATGGGCATTGACAGGCTGTAGGGGAAGGTGTGGGACCTCAAGCCTCTCATTCAGCCTTCAGCCAGGTTAGGCTGGTGGAGGAAGAGAAGCCTGGTGGGTAGAAGGGCTTCAAAGTCTTCTCACACAGTCACAAATGCAAACACTTCTGGAGACAAGTAAACAAACCAACCACTTCTGGGAAGCTAAGCCTGATCACAACCCTGCCCTAAGCAGTGCCCTCCCCATGGTGGCTGCTATCAACAGAGGCCAGGAGAGGTTCTGGGGCTGCAGTTTGTCCCATGCTTTATAGGCACTGACCATACTATGCTGGAGAAGACACTTGCCTCAGCTGGGCCAAGATCATGGAAAGGTACCTCCAACCTCACCATGTCCCCTTCCCCTAGACTGGCTCCCATTCCTGATGTCTGTGAAGAGCACAACCGAAATGACATCCTGACCTCACACTCCTTACCAGGGCGCCTGTGTCCCACAGCTCTCCCTACTCATCTGTGTAAACAAGCCAACCACTTGTTTACATATGGACTTTTCTGATCTCACATCTGGCTGTTCCCCACTTAACTCAGGACAAGGCCTGTCTTCAGTCTTTTCTCAGTCCCATGCCTCCAGCCTGCAACTCACCAAAGTGTCTAAGGTCTTTGATGTCCCCTATCAATGCCGTGTCACCACTCCCAACTCTAGCACCCCATTTACTCCTCTCCCTCAGCCAGGCCAGGCTCCTACCTGGTACATGGCACACATTGAAGCCTTGCAGTTTCAACTGTTGTCTTACTTTTCCTGTTGCTATGACAAAATACCTGACAAAAGCAACTTAAGGGTTTATTTTGGCCCAGTTCATGGTGCAATCCATCATGGTGGGGAAGTCACAGTAGCGGGAGTTTGAGGCAGCTGGTCACATCCACAATCAAGAAAAAGAGAGCATGAATGGATGCCCAGCTCACTTTCTTTTTATGTATTCCAGGATCCTAGGCCAGAGAATGGTGCCACCCAGTGGGCATGTCTTCCCACCACAAGTGGCCTAATCAAGATAATTGCCCAAAGGCATGCCCAGAGATTCATCACCTCCCAAGTGATTTTAGATCTCACCAAGCTCGCAATTGAGAATAACCATTACAGGTGTCATAGGCAGTGGTCTTCCCTGTCCCTGTCACCACTCCCCAAACAGGAAACTCATATGGGTGGAATGATGGATCATCCATCCTCCTGCCAGGCCTAGAACCAGCTGGATACCAGGAAGTAGTGTAGCTATGGGTTCACAGGCACCCAGACTAACCACTGTGCAGGCCAAGTGAGTAGCTCTGTGACAAGGTGGGTTTGTCCACAATATGGTGGCTTCTAGAAGGAAGTGGGCTTTGAAGGATGTGAATTTTGCAATAAGATGACCAAACTAGAGGGCCTGAGCTGGATTGCTCAGACCCAGGGGCAAAAGGAAGGGGTGGCCATGTATACTGAGCAGGCCTATCGGCCACTGCCAAAGCACTCTCCACCCCTTCGTGTGCTTCCCACTCCCCAGAGGGCTCTCTATACTCCTTGGCAGACCAGGAGCCTTCTGTAAGTCTTGGCCACACTTGGCTTGGGTGGCAGGGGGGCCAGCAGACTGGCAACATGAGAAAGGTATGGGGTCCTGCAGGGAGGCCTTCAGGGATGGGTGTCAGGTGCTAGCAGAGACATAGAACTGAGACCTGCAAAATGGTGTTCCTACCAGAGGGGAGATGACACTGGAGGGTGACCATCTGGCACTATTGGAGTGACGAAGGGTCAACACTTGCAGGGCTTTGCCACTGAGGTTTCTGTGTGTGATGTCATGTTCTCTCTGGGCAGAGTGGGCACCAGAGTCTTCCTACTAATGCCTTGTGAAGGGAGAGATACAGAGGGGTGGTGTAATGAAGAAATTGGGTAGGGAAGGGTGGTTAGTCACTTTTGACTCCTTCCTGAAGCCCTGAAGACTGTGGGTTGGAGACTTTTAGAATTGACCTCTACCCTTGGGGCTGCATGTAGGACCTAACTATCTAGGGATCATTCCCTGCTGGGAGCCCTGTGGTAGGAATTTGCAGGTGCAGACTGCAGTGGGAAAGGTGCTCTGGTGGGGTAAAACAAGGTTTGTGCTAGACCCTGAGCCCATCCATGTCAGGCACAGGCTCTCTCAGGCAGCTCCAAGAGGGTGGGAGAGACACCACTAGAGGTTGCTAGAGATTTCATCTGCTACACCAACTTAGCCCCCAACATCACAACCCAAGAATCACCTGTCAAACCTTTGGGAAATGAGAGGAGAGGTCCTGTACAGGTATCCCACAACTGAGTCTGTGCTTTGGTCTCCAGGGACACATACTGCCTCCTCAGGTATATTAGATCTCCTGATCCAGGCCAGGGCTTTATTTATTCTGCCCCACAAGGACTTCATTTTTGCAGTGTTATGGAGCTCAGAGATACAACATTTGCTAGGCAAGTGCTCTACCACTGAGCTGCACCCCAAGTCTTCAGATCTGGAGCTAAGACAGCCATTGAAGTCATCCTGGGGTCTCCAAGGAGGATGGGACTAGGTTATTCTATCAGCACAGCAGTCAGAATCTACACTAGCCAGTGGCAGGCTGGCCAAAGACTAGACTGGAGACAGGGCAGTAGGAGCTGGTAAGCCACAGCACAAATGTTCTGGAGGCCCTGACGGGGAGAATGACAGTTACTTGTCACCCTTTCAACTTGAGGACCTTACCACACTTTCCTCTGAAGCAGGGTAGTGATCTGGTGCCATTTGGCTCAGGGGAAGGCCTCAATTCCTATGCCAAAGTCCATCCCCCAGGCAGCTGACCTGAAACCTGTACTCATGCCCCTCAGAGACACTGACTGGATTTGTGGGGGGGCAGTAAAGACAGGGTCTCCCTGTGGCCCCAGCAGGACTGGAACTTGATATGGAGGCCAGGCTAGCCTTCATTTCTCAGACATCTGCTTGCCTCTGCCTCCAGAGTGCTAGGAATAAAGGTGTATGCCACCACATTTGGCACTGACTGGAAAGGAAAGAAATGGAGACTTATGGCCATAGGAAGAGTCAACACGTTTTGCATAATGCTTTATTTCATTTATCAACAACATTGGGTCAGAAACACCCAACAATGGGGGCATCTCCTCATCCCTAGGACAAGTCCCAGGTACACACCTCTGCTTCCTCTCTGCCTCTTGAGAGCTCCCCATTGCTAAAAGCCCTGGCTGTGGGCAGCTGGAGCTACTCACCAGCTTGCTCTGTTCACAGAAAGAAGGGAGCCATGGGACTCGGCCTGTGATCAGGGCTGCCAGTCCCCAGAATCTTTTGTAGAAGGGCTCTTAGACCATCAGGGACCAGACTCAGGGAAGGAGGAGGAAGAGGTCAAGACAGAACCCCTCTGGGTTCACTCACAATGGGCCTGGTCATTCCTTCACATGATAGCAGCCTTTCAGGAGTACTTCCCATTGTAATATAATTCACAGCCATGGAGTTTGTAAATGCCAATAGCAGACTGGCTGAAGGAACAGAATAGGGAAACGGCAGCTGGTGAGCCTTGAGGGCCTCTACCCTAGAGCCAGGTGATCTAGACCAGGCCCCATGGGCCTCACTGCCCCTGCCACCATCTCTAATAACAGGCACCAGAGCCCTAATCCTCACTGGAGTTGTCAAACTCCTCCCAGTCTGACACACTCATCACCTCAGAGGCAAAGTCTGCATCAGCCTGGCTGCGGTTGGGGGTCCCACGGGTTGGCTCACGGAGCAGGGAGCGGGGCAGCGTGAGCACACAGGCTGCCAGGCCTGAGATGGAATTGTTCAGCTGGGGCCCCTCCTCCCAGCAGTCCTTCTCCATGTCGTAGATGTGCACGTAGCCTGTGCGGCTGCCTCGGTTGTGAGAGCGGCCGCCCAAAACGTATATCCTGTTGTCTAGCACAGCAATGCCAGGCTCACCATGCCCAGCTGGGAGTGGGCAGACCGATGACCATTGCCCAGATGTGCAGCTGTAGCAAGCCACCTGCAAAGCCAAGGCCAGGGTCAACCCAGGCAGCTGCTGGGGCAGGCTGCCAGCCCACCACAGGTGGCCTTTATCACCTCCTACTCTGTTAAGCTCTTAGAATAGTGCAGGACCAATTCTGAAACATTATGTGTATGGTCCAGGATGATACTCTGTTCTAGAGTTGGTCTACAGCAGGCCCACTTGAGGCCCCTTACCTGGAATGCCACTATGTCAGCCTCACTCAGACACGGGCCATCTTCCAGCCTCCCCAGCCTCCAGCTCCCAAGTGTACAGGCATCTCCCTCTCAGCATTTTCATATCTGGTCCTGCTTCTCTCCCCTTCCCAAGACTGAAGCTGAGGTCATGGACCCCATTTAACATCTTTTCCTTCTTCATAGTATCCTCCTTCACTATGGGGAGTATATGTGGAAGCAGTTATTTGCTGATTAATCACAACCATAAACCTTCTTTTGGAAAAAAAAAAAAAAGAAACAAATTGCTGGGCATGGTGGCACATGCCTTTAGTGCCAGCACTTGGGAGGCAGAGGCAGGCAGATCTTTGTGAGATAGCGAGTTCCAGGCCAGCTGGAGCTATAGGGAGACTGAAACAAAAAAAAAGCCGAAACAAAAAACTAAGTCCAAATAGTAAACAAAGACTTGAAAAAATGTTCCACCCTCTAGTAATTCAAGAACTACAAAACCAAAATATCACCAAGTTATCTAACAACCACTGAGGGAAGGAAAAATTATAAAATCCAATGTTGATGAATGTGTGGTAAATCCACTGTGTATCTGACATGTCAGAAAAGGAACATGGCAGTATGTATTAACAGACATTAAAATAGTGTCTCTTTTGTGTTCTTTCAGATGTGGGCCTGCTATGTAGTCCTGGCTGGCTTAGAATTTGATATGTAGATCAAACTGATCTTGAATTTGTAGCAGTCCTGCCTCCAAGTGCTGGGATTACAGGAATGGACAACCACAATGGCTCAAAATTTTACTTTCTTGATCAGTAACTTTGGGTTTTCTAGCTATGATAGGCAAAATAATGCCCACCTCCTCCCCTCCCTTGCCAGATGTACACATCCTAATCTCTGGAACCTATGAATATGTCATATTACAAGGCAAAACTGGCTTTACAGATGGGATTAAGGGTCTTGGGCAGAGTATTTTTGGGGGGAGAGTATTTTCTGGGCAGGCCCATCTACTTAGATTTCTGTTTTGTTTTGTTTATTATGGTTTTCAGACAAGGTCTAGTTACCCGGCCTGGAACTCTATGTAGAACCAGGCTGGCTTTGAATTTGCAGAGATCTTCCTGCCTCTGCTGAGATTACAAGAGTAGGTCACCATGCGTAATCTACAGAAAGTTTTTACTTAAGAAGGTTCCACATACAATTCTTGACTTTTATGTTGCTGTAAAATTCAGTACGGTTCAGAACTTGGTAAGCTAGTGATACATGGTACAATACTTATGTATGTGATATTGAGCAGAGAGGGCAAGCTGCATCTCTTGTCAGCCACTCCATCTCAAAGAGAAACAACTGAGTCTTTACAGTAGTATCCTGTGTTGCTAAGTGATGATACTCCATAGGTCAGGTGGGTTAAATGCATCTATACGTGTGTGGAGGCCAGAGGTCAACCTCATACCTCATGTGCCGTTCCTCAGGAGCCATTCATCTTGTTTTTTGTTTTTTGTTTTTTTTGAGGTAGGGTCTCTCACTGGGACCTAGGGGTCAATGATCCCGTTGGGTGGGCTGGCTAACCAGAAAGCCTCAGGGATTTGTCTCTCTTTGTGTCCCAGAACTGGGATTACACCACCATGACCAGCTTTTTATGTGGGTTCTGGGGGATCAAACTCAGGTCTTCATACCTGCATAGCAAGCACTTTATGGACTGTGCTATTTCTTTAGCTCAATTAAATGCATTTTTGAAATAGGATATTTTCAATTATGAGACTATAGAGATATGACCCTATCATAAATGGAGGATTGCCTTTAGTTATACAAGCACTCAAAATGAGACAGTGAAAGCCAGACAGAAGGGACAGGGGGCAGGGAGGAGGATTCCACATGCCCTTGCTTGCTTGAAGATAAAAGTGTTACTGGCTCAGGGATGGGCAGCCAAGAAAGGCCTTCCAGACAGTAGGTAAAGAAATCGAAGACATCAGTCCTACAGGCCCCAGAGACTAAATTCTGTCAACAGTTCAAGTGAGCAGATCCTTCCTTCAGTCTATCGTGATGGAAGAATGCTTTGGTGATACCCTGAGGTCAACCTGCTGGACTTATCATCTACAAAACTATGAGAATAATGTTATTTAGGCTTATGGTGATTGTGATGACAACAACAGGAAACCAATACTCCGGGCAAAATTTTTACCATAGGAAGAACTGTTAAATCCAGGTAGCCAAGCCCTACCCCAAAGCATCCAAATCAATGGTCTCAGGTGGAGGCTGAGAACCTTGAGAACCACTTCATGAACCTGGGAAGAGAATTCAAAATACCAAGCAAGCTTCTCAAAGCAAATATTCAGAAAGTAATGTGGAATAAAGCTTAGACTAACCCAAATGATGCACTGGTTTAACAAAATGCTACACAGCTATTGGAGTAAGGACAGGCAGCAGTTATGAAAACTGTCAACAAGGCCTACTGGCACAGGTCTATAGTGCCAGCCACTTAAGAGGGGAAGGTAGGAAGACCATCAAGTTAAGAGTTCTGAATGGGCTAGAGTGAGTTCCAGGCCAGCCTGGGCAACTTAGTGAAACGCTATCTCAAAATAAAAAGTAAAAAGACATCTGGGGACGTAACTCAGTAGTAGAGTGCTTGCCTAGCATGTGTGAGATTCTGGGTTTAATTTCCCAATAAAACATATACACACAACACCACTGAACATTAAACTGGAGAATGCCTGGAACAAATGTTGCTGAGAGGAGCATGCTGAAATGCTCTTTTATTTCATTTTGACACAGGGTCTCACTAATAGCCCAGGCTGGTCTCAAACTCGTGACCCTCTAGCCTCAGCCTCTAAGTGCCAGGGACACAGACATGCATCACCACCCCTTAGCTTGGGCTGTTCCTTGACTATGAATCGCCAGAATTGAGTCATAGGTTGGAGGACTGAGAAGCAATGGTACAGGGGCTCAAGTATAAGTATTTTTTCTTATCTTTTTCTGATCTTTATTATTTTGTTGATATAGGTTCAACAAGTCTGACACAAGTGCCCTTCAGGTAGAGAATGCCCATAGCAGTGAGGCTGTGCATGCATGCAAGCAGAGGGTACATGGACATTCTCTGGACCTCCTACTCAATTAACTGTGAACCCACAACCGTTCTGAAAACCTAAGTGGGCAGCCCTGGCCCAGCTCACCTGATGTACATCCCTCCTGTAGCCAGCATCGTTGTTGCTGCCTCCAATCACAAACAGCTTGTCGAGAAGGGCAGCCATGCCATGCCAGGCACGTCGCACAGGCCCATCCGCCAAGGTATGCCATGTGTTGCTGCCTGGGTCATAGCAATGCGTCTCTTTCAGGTAGTCCTCTCCTCTGCGACCACAGGTAATGTACATCTTCCCCTGCAGTGTGGTGCCTGCGTGGGCATACACCTGTTTGGAGCCACCAAGAGAGCCAGGGAGGACAGGGAGTAGGCAAGAAGGCAGTAAGGAAGGTGGCCAGGCAACCTCTAAGGCCACCACCACCCTGTACCTTGTACCTGCCTGACAAGGTATCAAGAATTCACTACATCCAATGTGCTCTCACATGCTGAGGAGAATGTGTCCTAGATCCTGTCTGGACATCCTGTCCTACCTGTTGACCACTGACCTCTTCCCAACAGGTGACATATCTACAGACCCAGAGATCAAATGTAATATTTGTCTTTTTCTGCTCCTAAAGGAAATGTCTGGATAGTGGAACTCCAAGAAAATCAAGGCCTCTTTCCTAAGTTGCCCAAGAAGGCCACAGCACACAGGCAATGAGAACTTTCCCTCAGGGGCCACACCTTCCAGATCTGTCAGTAGATAGTACCCAATCACAGGAAATCAGATGTAAGGAAGACAAAAATGAGACACACAATCAAATATAGGACCCAGGGATGTGGCGAGCCAGCTATATCTCTGGATTCAACCAAATATGGATCAAAAATGCCCAACTATATTGCATCTGTACTGAATATGTAGTGCTTTATTCATTGTCTATTTTCCCTAATCAGTATAGTATTTACTAATTATTATGTACTGATTTATATATCATTTATATTTTACTAGGAATTTTAAGAATCCAGGGGTGGTTCCTTACTTTATTTGTTTTGAGTGGTTCTTGGGATTGAATTCAGGGCCTTCTATCTGGAGGCATTTTCCTACCACTGAGCTGTATCCCAGGCCTCTTTTTACTATCTATTTATTTTTTGAGGCAGGTTATAATGTATCCCAGGTTGGCGGCCTCGAACTTGCTATGTAGCTAAGGATGACCTTGAATTTTTTAAAAAATTTTACTTATTTAACTAACTTTAATTTTTTTGTGTGTATGAGTGTATTGCCTGCATGTATGTAAGTGCACTCATGTCGTTCAATGCCCAAAAAGGTCAGAAGAGGGCGTCAGATACTCTGGAGCTGGAATTATGAGTAATTGTTAGCTGCCAATGTAGAGCTCTGCAAGAGCAGCCAGAGCTCTTAACTGTTGAGCCATTTTTCCAGCCCCAACCTTAAACTTTTAATCTTCTCACCTCTACGTCTCAAATGCTAAGATTACAGGTATGTGCCAGGTTTATTGGGTTCTGGGGAATGAACCAGGGTTTCATGCATGTTAGGCACTCTATCAATCAAATTACATCCCTAGACCCTACTCTTAGAGAAAATAACCTTCAAGTCACTCTGTAGCCTAGGCTGGCCTTGGAACATTTGATCTTCCTGCCTTAGCCTCTGAAATAGCTGGGACTATAGGCTTATGTCATCAGAGTGGGCTTAGATGTGTAGGTTTTACACAAATACTATGCCACTTTAACCTCATGGATTTTACTATTCTTGGAGAGTCCTAACACCATGGTCTCCCTGTAGCCCCAGTTGGCCTGGAACTAGCTATGTAGGCTAGGTTGGCCTCGAACCCACAAAGATCCACCTGCCTCTGCCTCCCAAGTACTGGGATTTTAATTGCTAAGCAATTAAAAAAAATATTGTTTTGGGGCTGGAGAGATAGCACCCACATGGCAGCTAACAACTACCTATAACTCCAGTTCCAGGGGATCCGACAGCCTCTTCTGTCCTCTGAGGGCACTGCATGACATGGGTACACTTACCTACATGCAAATACACACATACACACAAAATAAAAATAAATAAAAAATATTTTAAAAAGTTTTGCTGGGCATGGTGGTGCACGCCTTTAATCCCAGCACTCAGGAGGCAGAGGCAGGCAGATCTCTGTGAGTTCAAGGCTAGCCTGGTCTACCTAGTGAGTTCCAGGACAGCTGAGGCTACAGGGAAACCCTGTCTCAAAAAAAAATTGTTTCATGTGTATGAGTGTATTATCTACATGTATGTAAGCGCACCCATGTCATACAGTGCCAGCAGAAGTCAGAAGAGGGCGTCTGATCCTCTGGAACTGGAGTTACAGATGGTTGTTAGCTGCCATATGGGTGCTGGGAATTGAACCCAGGTCCTCTGTAAGAGCAGCCAGTGTTCTTAACCACTGAGCCATCTCTCCAACCCCAGGAGTAGGTAATTAATTATTGATAAAGCAGTCTGTGACTGGAGTGGTTTCTTTTTTGGAATGACTTCTGAAATTTTTGGTTTCAGAGTCCAAATGTATCTTACTGTCTGCATCTATGCTTGGAGACTCTTCATGGACTTTCAGCTCCATTTTGTTTGGGTTTGACATAAGTGATTCCACTTTAGTTTATACTCTAAAAGGACACCTGGAGGATGCTGGTGGGACTGCATCAATGTCAGCAACCTGATGAGAATGTTGTAACAGTTATACAAATTCTTATCATTGAGAGAAACTGCTTGAAGGGGATGGGCATAGGATGTCTATTTTTTTCTCCCATCCCATGTGCATTGCCTCTGCTCTTGAAAGTTTAATTCAAAAAATTAACTCTCCAGACTGCCACCAGTGATGGGAGAAGATCCAAACCCTCAGTACATGTCCTGCTTGCTGCTCTGTACCTCGCCAGCTTCTTGTGGTACCTATGTGCCCCAAGTGTTGGTGGCTAGACTCTGTGGCACAGCCCTAGAGTCTCCATACCCCTTTCTCCTCAAATAAACCGTGTCTTCTGTTGGCCTGCTGGGTATGAGTAAGGCTTAGAGGAGCCCAGTGAAGGTGTAATGGTTAGTGGGTAGGCCCCAGGGAAACAGCTGCCAAAACAGGGGTGGAAAGTCCATGAGCACTGAACACTAGCAATGGATCTATTTTCCTTCCTTATCACACACATTCTCACTGAAGTGAGAGTGTACTTTGAGACTCATGGTCTCAAAAAGACCAAAAAAAAAAATTAATTGCATACTCCTGCAATGAGCTCCCATAGCCAATGAGGTTTGTTTTCCAACAGCTCATGTGTGCTTCTGTCTTTATTACTGTGCATGTGTAGGGGATCAGTTCCCTCCTTCCACTGTGGGATCCAAGGATTGAACTCAGCCTGTCAGGATTACATGGCAATTGTCTTTACTCACTGAACAATCTTACCAGCCCTGGACTTCTGTCTTTAATTTAAAGGCTTCCCCTTGCTCACACCTACCTGTGGCCCACCACAGCACGTGTTCCTAGATTGCAACTCCTTGCTATACCTGAATAAACACTTTGCTCTGAAGTACTGGTCTCTCTATTGTTCAATTTAAGTTGGCAATAGTCATACCCAGTTCCCTCCTCCCACAAACCCCTACACTTAATTTCTGGCAACCACCAATCTCTTCTCCATTTCTACAATGCTGTCATTTCAAGAGTATCATACAAATATAGAACCTAATACAACTGGCCTTCTAGCCCTATCCAGGTTTCTCTGTTACCTATGGTCGGTTCCTTTCCTTTTCATTGCTGTGCATCTACCACAGTTTATTTACCCATTCTCCTGTTGAAGGACATCTGATTTGTACAGTTTCTGGCTATTACTAATGAAGCTGCTATTAATATTTGTGTATGAAAAAAAAGTCTTCATTTCTCTTGGATAAATCCCAATGATGGCAACTGCTGAGGTACATGGCTACTGGAAGGAAATGCCACTCTTCCACAGTGCATACCATTTTACATTCTCATAGGCAAACCATGAGCAACTCAACTGCCCTGCATGGATGGTCACCAACATTTGGTGGAGTCACAACTTGTTTCAGTCATTCTGATAGGTGGCTTTCACTGTGGCGTTACGTGCATTTCCCCCATGGTGAATGATGTTGCCTATTTTCCATCTGTCTATTTCCTCAGCCAAATCTCTTCCAGTCTTTTGTTCCCCTCACCTGTTTCTTCTCTCCCCCCACCTCTCTCTCTCTCCTCTCTCTCTCTCTCTCTCTCTCTCTCTCTCTCTCTCTCTCTCAGAGATCTGCCTGCCTCTGCCTCCCAAGTGCTGGGATTAAAGGTATGTGCCACCATGCCCGGCTTCTCTTTCTCTCCCTTCCTTCTTTCTTTGTTGTTTTTCAGAGAGTTTTGCTATATAGCCCAGAGGGGCCTTGAACTTATGATCCTCTCAGTGTTGGGGTTATAAGCCTGTACCACCACACTTGACTTACCCTCTTCAATACTAGTCCTTAGTCAGATATGTGGTTTGTATCTATTTTCTCTCAGTAGCTTCTTCCATCTTTTTTCTTAAAAACAAAACAAAAAAACCCTTATGTATATGTGTGGAGAGCATGAATGTGTGTATCCATGTTCTTATCTGTGGGAGCATGTGCATAGGGTACGTATGCATGTGTGTGTTTGTGTGTGCATGTCTGAGACTCAAAGTTGGCATCTTCACTAATCACTATTTATTGAGGCAGAGTCTCTTGAAACCACAGCTCAGCAATTCTAGCTACTGTAGCTGGCCAGTTTGCTCCAGAGATTCATCTCTGTCTCCCAAGTGCTGGGATTACAGGAACCCACCATGCCTGCCCAGCAATTACATGGGTGCTGGGAATCTGAACTCTGGTCCTCACATTTGCATGGCAAGTGCTTCATTCATTGAGTCACTTCCCTAGCCCCTTCTCTCATCATCTTAAGAAGGTCTTCTGTTGGGCTGGTGAGATCGCTCAGTAGGTAAAGGTACTTGCCACCAAGCCCAAGGACCTAGGTTCAATCCTCAAGACCCACATGGTAGAAGGAGAGAACTGACTTCCACAAGCTGTCCTCTGACCTTGACATGTATCTCTACCACAGAAAAATGTTAATTTTTAAAAGGTCTTTTATAAGCCAGGCATAGTGGTACTCGACTTTAATCCTAACATTCAGGAGGCAGAGGCAGGAGGATCTCTGTGAGATTGAGGGCAGGCTGGTCTACATAGTGAGTTCCAGGTCAACTGCGGCTACAGGGAGACACTGTCTCAAAAAAGAGCAAAACAAACAAAAACAAAAAAAGGTCTTTTGTGAGCAAGAATTAATTTCAAAAAGATCTAATTTATCAATTTTGTTTCCATGTTTTGGGTATTTGACATCAAGTCCAAAAACTTATCTAGCCTTAGATCCTGAAGATTTTCTTCTGTTTTTTTGTTGTTTAATTTTTATTAATTTAGGTGTGTGTGTGTGTGTGTGTGTGTGTGTGTATGTGTGTGTATGTAAGTGCATAGGCAGGGGCACAGCAAGTACCTTTACCATCTGAGCTACTTCACCACTCTGTTATTATTTTTATGTGTATGAGTGTACTGCCTGCATTGTGTAAGTGCCCCATGTCAAGCAATGCCTGAGGTCAGAAGAAGGCATCAGATCCTCTGGAACTGGAGTTAAGGATGGTTGTTAGCTGCCATGTGAGTGCTGGGAATCAAACCCCAGTCCTCTGCAAGAGCAGCCAGTACTCTTAACTGCTGATTCGTCTCTCCAGACCCTTGTTCATTTGTTTTGAAGACAGGGTCTTGCTATGTTGCTCTAGCTGTCCAGGAATTTGCTATATAGACCAGGCTGATCTCAAACTTGTTGTAATCCTCCTGCTTCTGCCTCCCAGTGTTGGGATTATAGGTATGTGCTACCACCCACACCTGGCTCCTGTTTTGTTTTGTTTGTTCTAAAAGATTTAGGTTTTTTTTTTTTGGTCTTTTTGAGATAGGGTCTCCCTGTAGCCCCAGCTGTCCTGGAACTCACTATGTAGACCAGGCTGGCCTTGAACTCACAGAGATCCGCCTGTCTCTGCCTCCCAAGTGCTGGGATTAAAAGCGTGCGCCACCACGCCTGGCCCTAAGATTTAGTTTTATCTTTTACATTTAAGTCTATGTGAACCACTTCTGAGTATCCTTCAAACCATTCCTTAGGTCTTCCATTTCCCTCTACCTCTGTAGCCCTTGTCCAGGCCTAGCCCACCACAAGTCCCGACACTACTCTCCTTGCTTCTACCCAGGCTCCTTCAGTCTTTCTGCTCTTCACAAGGGTTCATCAAGCTCAAAATAGACTACAAAGCCCCCACCCCCTGCCCAGTAAGATCCTTGTCCCCCTACAAATGGCCATTTTGTTTCAAGCCTTGCTCTGACACCTCCTCAAATGGACATCCCTCAAACAGTGTCTCTCTAATGACCCCTCAAGAGCCCTGACTCCTCCAGAACATGTTCAGCTCAATCCCTTCTTCATTTCTTTCATTCTACCTACTACCGTTGTAGCTACTTTAGTGACTTGTAGGGTGATTAGTAACAGTCTCTTCTGCAGCCTGTTTATTATTTCTTGTCACCAATGAATTTCCATGATTTGGAATATAATAGCTGGTTAACAGTGGAAGGGATGACTGCATGCAAAAAAGAATGAAGTTGACTGGCTGCCAGAGTGAATCTGGGTGAAGTTCAAGACTGCCACTCTGTGGCCAACTGAAGAACTGTGAGTTTGCCCACAGCCCCACACAAAGAGCCCATGCCTTTCCTCAACAGGCCTTTCTCAAACTCCTGGAATAGAGCTCATGAAACCAGTTCTTGCAAAATCTGCTTCTTAAGTCTTAAGAACTAGAACTAGGGCATGGCTTCCCACAATGAAGCTAAAAAGTAAGGATCAGGCCATGGCTGGGAACACACAGCTGCCTATAGGAAGGATGGCAGGAATCTGCCTGGTCTGTGCTGTAACTTGAGTAAGAGTTAAACCCATCATGGAGATCCCAATCCCAACACAATGAAGTCAAAGTCTCAGTCCCTAGAGGTTTAGGGAAGGGTGAGGGAAAAAGATGGCAGGCAGTGGAAAGCAGTTCCAAAGGCCAGAGCTCCTCCCCAGGTCCCTGAAAGAATGTAAGCCTCATTTAGGGCAGAGCTTATATATACGACCACCATTCCATCTTGACTCTGGCGTGCTCCAGAATCCCTGAGGGTGTTAGCCTAGAGTAGGTGCTTAACAAACACCTCTGCTGATACCTTTTATCAGAGGCTGGGGCTTTGGAGCTGGTGCAGAGAAGACCTATTCCTTGTCCTGGGATCTCAAGGCTGGTACGGGACCAAGGCAAAGTACCCTAGAGCCACAGAAAAAATGAGAAGCACGCCCTAAAGCATTTTCTTTGCAAAATATATGTAATTTTAAACATCTCAAACTAGAATAAACCAAGGCACTATTGTGCTGTATATGCATGATTATTGTCTTTAATAAGAATAAAACCTCAGGCCGGGCGTGGTGGTGCACACCTTTAATCCCAGCAGTCAGGAGGCAGAGGCAGGCAGATCTCTGTGAGTTCAAGGCCAGCCTGGTCTACATAGAGAGTTCCAGGACAGCTGGGGCTACAGGGAGACCCTGTCTCAAAAAGACCAAAAAAAGAGAATAAAGCCTCAAGGCAGGTGTATAGCACATACCTTAAATTCCAGCACTCAGGGGGCAGAGGCAGGGGGAATCTCTGTTAGAGGTCAGACTGGTCTACATAGAGTTCAAGGCCAGACCCTGTCTAAACAACAAACAAAAAAGGCCTGTGACCCATGCCTTTATTCCCTGCACTTGAAAGGCAGAGATAGGTGGATCTCTGTGAGTTCAAGGCCAGCCTGCTCTCCATAGTGAGTTCCAGGCCAGTTGGGGTTACAGGGAGACCCTGTCTCAAAAAAAAAAAAAAAAAAAAATACAAGGGAAGGGGGGGGGGGGGCCCGCAGAGTAAGGATCTGTCGGCACTTCGGTTCAAAGCTTCATTTACTATTTCTACATGGAAGACTCTCACATCAGATCTTTTAAAGAATCCCTTTCAAAAAAAAAAAAAAAAAAAAAATCTCAAGGAGACTGGAGAGATGGCTCAGCAGTTAAGAGTACTTGCTGCACTTGCTGCTCTTGTAGAAGACCCAGGTTTGGTTCCCAGCACCCACATGGCGGCTCATAAATGCCTGTAAATCCAGCTCCAGGGGATCCAACACCCTCCTCTGTGGGCACCAGATATATGGTGTACACACATACATGCAGGCAAAGGCACTCAAACACACAAAATAAAATTTTTTATTTTTTTGGAAGATCCCTCAGCTCTGGGGTCATATAGGGAAGTCTGGAAAAAGGACTGTGAACCAGGCTGCCCTCCAGTCTCTCAGGATTCCTTCTCTTTGACATGTTTAGAAATGTTCCAGCTTGTGCCAGCTAGGACAGATTAAGGGGGAAGTTTCTGCCTATACTGCAGTACTCATAGGGACAAGGTTAGTGGCAGTGGCAGCACATGAGACTCATGAGGGGCACTGGTCTGAGGAATGAGGGCTGAACATTCAATGTAGTACCTCCTGAGAAGCTGACAGAACACACGCCATACAGAATCTTGACACTTGGGCCTCTGTGTGCAGCCCATGGAAGGAAATTGGGAAGGCCCCTGTTGGAGGGCTTTCTTACCTCCCTCTTGAGTGGGGCCACATAGGCCCAGGAGTTGGTGGCAGGGTCATAGCGCTCCACAGCATTTAGGTCATTATGGTAGTCACGGCCTGCCACAGCATAGATGTACCTGCCCACGACACATACACACAGGTCTGCATGTTCCTGCTGCAAGGACTGGATCTGGAACCAGCGATTGTGCCTCGGGTCATACCTTTGGAGGACACGAAAACAGTAAGTCACTGACCAGCAAAACAACTTGGCTTCAGGCCTATACTTCCTACTCCTCCACTTCTTTACTGCAACCTTGTCTGAATACCTCCATCCTGGTAGCTCCTAACAGCCAGGAAAGGCTGATCCATTGTCATGCCAATTGGTGCAACACACCTGAACACAGAAATGCCTACATACATAGCCTGGAAATGTGGACAGAAACTGCCTGGCGTTTTGCCTATGATGTTGGCCCCTTCTAGGTGTAATTTCTGGAGTGGATTATAGCCCACCCAAGACTGCCAAACAGGTGCTCCTATAGCCATCCTCATCTTACTCATCTCCAGGAAGGCCCCAGTTACAATCTCTGAATCAGATGGGTGCAACAGCCTCCTCTACCATTCTATCATGTGAGATCTGTTAGAGGCACCCTGTGTACCATCGCACCCTTGGTCTTGTCATATTCAGTGTGCCAGGCTCCCTACAGTCCCCTCCATATATCTGAAATAACTGTCCTGTTCCCTACTCCATGGCTTTCCTGACCTCCCCAGCTGGAGATGTCCTCTCTACCTATACTCCCAAGGCATTCCTCATATAGAAATGGTGATGCAACTTTCACCTTGAACTGCGGTCACCAGAGGGCAGGACTCTGTGATTCCTGGGATCCCACTAAAACAGCTTTGCCTGATCATTCATTCCCTGACAACTGTAAAAAAGTCTGACCCCTCCCCTACCCCCCAGGGCTGGAGAGATGACTCAGTGGTTAAGAGACTGACTTCTCTTACAGAGGACCCAGGTTCAAATTCTAGCACCCATATGGTGACTAACAATCATCTGTAACTCCAGTTCTTGGGATCCAATGCCCTCTTCTGACTTCTGAGGGCATTACTTGACACGTGTATATTTACATACATGCAGGCAATATACTCACAGTAAAAGAATCTAACCCCTAAGCAGCAAGCATCATCCACGTCTGTAAAGAGCCAACCCTGTCCTTGCTGTCCAACCTTACAGTCATCCCAAGATGCCCTTCCCTTCCTTTTGCTCTGTTCCCCATCTGCTCTTGGCTGCACAGAGCTTCCAATCCCCCACCAGGGTACTCTCAGTCACCCAGCATGCCAACTCTCACCCATCGGTCTCTACTGTACTTTGGATTCACTCTGCAAACACGTCTTAGCCACCTCCACCTAGTTCACTTACTTATCCTCAAGAGTCCCGAGTTCCCCCATGTCCTTCTATTCCCATTAACACCAGCCATCAGTAAAGCCCACTCATACACTTTGAAATTCAAACATGAGCCCACACCTGAATCCCTCCTCAGCCTAAGTCCGTCCTCATGTTCTTTCCTTTTTTTCCTTCTGCCATACTGGGGATTGAACCTGTGGTCTCTGGATGCTAGCCAAGTGTTCTACCACCAAGCTACATCCCCAACCTTCTTTACATTTCCTAACTTTTTTTTTCATCCTTTTGAGACAGGGTCTCCCTGTAGCCCCAGCTGTCCTGGAACTCACTATGTAGACCAGGCTGGCCCTGAACTCACAGAGATCCGCCTGCCTCTGCCTCTGCCTCCCGAGTGCTGGGATCAAAGGCGTGCGCCACCACGCCTGGCTACATTTCCTAAGTTTTGAGGCAGGGTCTCATTAAATTACCCAGGCTGAAGCTGCAACTTTTGATCCTCCTGTCACAGCCTCCCAAGTAGCTGGGATTAAAGGCCTGTATTACTGGTTTGGGCTAATCCCACCTCTCTAGCACCCCTGTTCCAGGTTCAGCTGTTTCTGTGCCCAAGCCTGGAATTCCTCCAGGCACACATGTGGGAAGGCATGCTGTTGGGTGAACACAGATGGCCTCAGAACAACAAAGAGGCCAAGATCTGTGAGCCTATGGCCCTCCCTCCAATTCTCCTCAATCCATACCTGACTTTTACCCCTAGAGCAACCACCCAGTGGCCAGCAACTGCTCAACTCCACTTCTGAGGTGTCCTTGGCCCAGGCCCACAGACAGCTGCAGCTTCTTCCACATGAATGCTTTCATTGGGAGGAAGAGCCACTGCAAAGAGGAGTCCAACTTCTACTGGATCAGAAGAGCACCCTATGCTTGCTAGTGAAGATCTGTTTCATCCTCTATCCACAGCACTAGTCAAACATGCTCTCCAACTGCTGCTCCTTGCTCATCCTCATCAAACAGGAATATAGGAAACAGCAAGAGGTGGGGCCATCAGAAGAGACTCTACCTCATCTAGCTGGGCATATCTGGGTACCAACTTTAGTCTGTTTCTGTACCTGCCCAACACTGCCTGCCAAGAAAAGCTATCATGAGGAACTGGGCATGTTGTTCCATGTCTGAATCTCAGTACTTGCAAGGCTGAGGCAGGAGGATTCAGAGTCCAAAGCCAGCCTGGGTTGTACAGACCCGGATTTGAATCCCAGCACCCACATGGTAGCTAACAACCAGCTGCAACTCCAGTTCTAGGAGATCCAACGCCCTGTTCTGAACTCCACCAGTACTACATGACACAGGTGCATTTACATACATGCAGGCAGTAAACACATACACGTAAAATAATAATAATAATATATTAAAAGAAAAGTATTAACTTGCTACTTAGTATGGATGAGGCACAGTGATCAGTGCAAACCCAGGAAGAAACTGGAGAGACCAGGGCCCCTCTTCTCTTACAGAAGGAGAAATAGGCTAAACAGAACAAACAAGTCAGTACTTCTTAAAAAGACAAACCCCATAAAGAAAGAAAAGTAGGTAGCAACCATGGTCTATCCATCAGTAGGTCATGGGAGGCAGAGCTCTCCTCTAGCCACCAGGAAATTCCTCTTGAAGAATGGATTGTCTAAGACCTGAATACCTGGGGCACCACCCAGGGGAGAATCTGGCTAAGGCCCCACAATCCAGGCTCACAAATACCCTGTCAACTGATAGATGGGGCTATCTACAGCCTTTCCTGTAGCGCTCCTTTATGTATATGCTCTTCTTCCCTATTTTCAGTTCAGCCCACACCAGAATCTGCTTTCCCCATGAGAGTGAAACAAGACCACCTAAATGTTTCTGCCTGCTTTTTACTGGTCTCCAGCACTGTTTCTTAGGCTGAGTTCTCCTGGATCTTGCTGAGTTCCTTAGGCTTAAGGAAACATACACATAACATTCATTGGGCTTAAGGAAACATACACATAATATTCATTGAAACTAATAAGCTTATAGATTTCTTATTCCTGTGTCCTGTCTGTATTTGACCTTCCCCTCCCAAACACCCACAACCACACCCACACTCTCAACATGGTCTTAGTACATAACTAAGGCTGGCCTTGAATTTGCTATGCAGACCAAACTACCTTTGAACTTCCAATTCTCCTGCCATAGCCTTCCAAGTGCTAGGATTACAGGTCTGCACAATCATGCTCAGCTGACCAAGATCTTTTTAAAATTATGTTTATGAGTGTTTTGCCAGCATGTATATAAGTGTACCACATGCACACAATGCCCACAGAGGTCAGAAGATGTCAGAGTCCCCTAGAGCTGGATTTGGGATGGTTGTTAGCACCATATGGGTGCTGGGAACCAAACCCAGGTCCTCTGCAAGAACAGCCAGTGCTCTTAATAGCCGAACCATCTCTCCAATCCCCAAGTTCCTCTTTATTGAATAATTTTTTGGTTTTGTTTGCATTATTATGATGTATGTAGGGGGGGCACACATGCAGCAAGCAGCACATATATAGAAGTCAGAGGACAACTTTGCAGCTCCTGTTCTCTTTCTACTTTTACATGGTTCCAGGGATTGAACACAGGTTGCCAGTCTTATGCAACTTTTTTTTTTTTTTTTTTTTTTTTTTTCTTTTTTTGGTCTTTTTGAGACAGGGTCTCCCTGTAGCCCCAGCTGTTCTGGAACTCACTTATGTAGACCAAGTTGGCCTCAAACTCAGAGACCCACCTGCCTCTGCCTCCCAGGTGCTGGGATTAAAGGTGTGTGCCACCACGCCTGACACACATGTGCTTTTACCCACTGAGTCATTTTGAGGGCTGTTTTGTTTTTATGATACAGGGTCTCATGAAGTCCAGTCTGGCCTTGAACTCCCTATGTAGCCAACAATGATCCTGCCTGATTCTTCTGCCTCCTCTTCCCAAATGTTGGGATTACAGGTATGACCTACCATACCTGGATTTTCTACTTTGTCAGAATAGACCTTTTAGTAATTTTTTTCTAATAAATGTTTCAGGGGTTGATGAGATGGTTCAGTGGGTAAGGGTGCTTACGCCAAGCCTGACGTCTTGAGTTTGATTTCTGAAGCCCACATGGTAGAAGGAGAGAACCAACTCCCATAAATTGTCTTCCAACTTCCACATGTGTACTTGGCACAGGTAGGTATAAGCTAGTTTAACATTGCTATGGACTGAATGCTTGGGTTCTACAGAATGCCCATCTGGAAGCCCTAATACTTAATGTGACAGTACTTTGGGAGGTAATCAGGTTTTGAGGGTAGAGATCCCAAGATGAGATTAGTGCCTTTTAAGAGGAAGAAACTAGAATTACTGTCTCTTACTATATAAGAACAGAGCAAGAAAAGGCCGTTACTAGAAATCAGTCTGCTGACTTTCCAGAACTTAGACTATGAGAAGTGTTTGGTAGTTAAGTCATCCAGTCTGTGGTATTTGTTATAGCAGTCAAAATTAACTAGATGATAATTTTAATTCAAATATTTGAATTGTTATTGAAAACTGAGAGGTAAAATCTAGAGCTGCTTCAAAAATGTTCTAAAGGCCCTTGTCAAATTTAGTAAATTGTTTTTTCCCCTGTGTTTCCATTACTGTTAATGTGTGCATGTACACGGTAGTACTAGGGATTAAACCTAGGGATTTAGGGATTTGTGTATGTTAGGTAAGAACTTCTACCACCGAATTATATTATCCCCCGCCCAAGTCTTCCCCCGCATTTTTTTTGAATCAAGGTCTCACTATGTAGCCCGGGATGGTCTGGAACTCAAGAGATCCATCTGCCTC